TGGCAGGCCCGATTTTACCCTTGTAGTGTAGATTAGGAAGTAGGAATCCCCTACTCTTTCTAATTTATTTTCTAATTTCTTTAAGCCTTAAGATGTTTGGTTAAAATAACAAGGCCTGAATGAAAACCAGAAACGAAGTACCTTGTCTAGAACAGTGCTAGGCATTTACTAGATGCTGGACTATTTCCAGAGCTCTAATAAAGTCCTCTTCTCCCTAAATGCCTTCTAGAGCCTGCAGATGCATCAGTAGTGCTGTCATCTTCTAGACTGAGGTTTGATCCTTGTGTACATTTCAGTCATCTAGGGAGGATTTACACTCTAGGCTATTGCCTGGTCCTTTAGCTCCAGTGTAGATGGAGATTAAGAACTGATATTCGTGTGGAGAAGGATAGGGAGGAAAAAGCATGACACCTCGGGAATGGTGCATGGGAGGAGAGAGGAGAAGATGGCTGAGTGGGTAGAAACAGCCTCAGGCCACTCAGTCCTGAGGGTGACCTCCTCTGGTTTTCTACATTGGTCCAGCCTAGACCACCACTCCTAACATCTCCAGTTGATAAGCAGGTCCTGATTGTGAACCTACTGAGTACCAAGCTCTGTGAAGGATTTGGAAATTTAGATACAATGATTGTATGTGTACAGGCCTAAGCTCAGAGCATATAATCAAACAAGAAGATATAATCAATATTTTAAATCCAAAATGTTCTGGAAAATCCAGGACTCACATATGGGATGGTCCTTGCTCATAATCCTGTGGTCTGAGCGTGGAGGTGAGGTAGGGGTGTCAGATTATTACACAACTGATTTTGAAAGGTGATACCAGATGGTGATGCTGTGAGCCAAATATCATAAGCAGACAATCAAAGTAATGAAAGTTCAGAAGAGGAAGAAGCCACGCCAGCTGTGATAACTGTAAAACAGCATAAATGTTTGCTGTATTTTGCTAATAGCACTTTACATTTTTCATAGCATTTCAGAGTTTCCAGAACACTTTCTTGTCATCTCATTTCAGTAAGTCTTCACAACAACCTCTGAGCTAGATAGTATTAAATGAGGTAAAATACATAAAACACTTAGATTAGTGTTCATTGCATAGTGTTCACTATTATTACTATTATTGGAATTATCTTATAATGAGGAAACTAAGGCTTAGAGAGGCAGTTACTTGAGAAGTGGTAGAAGTAGGTCTGAACTCAGCTCCCCTCGCTGCTATTTCTAGAACACTTTTTCCATTATCTCATGCATAAAAGAGGGAGTACTTAAGCTGTGCCTGCCTGAGTGGGGCCAAGTTTTGACAAGGCAGAGAAATCTCTGAAATCATGCTCCTCAGCCTCAGAAGCTGGAGCTGGTAGGTGAATGGGAATTCATGAAGGTATTCACTTCCCTGAGTAACAAGAGTTAAATCTAGAAGCCTTTACTCATTTTAGTATTAAGGGGAGATGGTTCATTACCTGGCCCATCAAGGAAGCTGCAAGCCATTAAACTCACATAGATCTTCAGCTGTTAGGCTTGTTAAGAAAATGTTACAATAGGGGGAAATTGACAACACAGGCACCACAGATATTTTTAGTCAGTGTTTTAAGGATGTACATCTTGAGTTCTGTTTAGGATTGAGCACAAGGGAATGAATTTGGGTTTATTTGACAAGACTGCCAATCAGAAAGTCCATACTGAGTACTTTCTCTGTTCTCATTTTATGCAAGGGACTGTATAGGGAAACTAAGGGAGGTGAAGTAACTTTCCCAAACTTTCAAACACTGGTGAGAGTGGTATAATCTTTTTCTTGGGCAGGGGTAGTTTGGCAATATCAGTAAAAACTGTAACTGCCTCTATTTCTTGCACCAACAATTCTGCAATAAATTATTAATCCTATGGGCATATTTTTAAATGTATGTCATTGTAGCACTATTTGTAATAGTTTGCTTGTATAACAAACAAGAAACTAGAAATCTAAAAGCTCACCGATGAATATTGGATAAATAACTACATGCCCTTCGAGTGGAATTTTACGCAACTATTAAAAAGAATGAGGTCCATCAGTATGTGCTGAAATCATATCACTAAGATAAATTTTTAAGGGAAAAAAAATTAAGATTCAAATGAAAGGGTTTATGTAACATGATGCCACAGGTATATGTCTGAAGTGTGTATGTATGTAGATGTATCCACATGATTTCCCGCCCGCTGGAAGGATATGCTTGATAATGCAGAGTATGTGTGATAAGAGAGGAACGGGAAAAGAGAAAATTTTATTTTTCATTTTATCCTTTTATGTACCTTTGAAGGTAGATAGATTGCTTGGTTTAGCTGTATGATGTATTATTTTTAAAACATTTAAGCTTGTGGTCACACAGCCAGGAGATGTTATAGCTAGGATTCACACCCCAGACTGTGATTGCAGAGTGCATCCTTTGGATTCTAGCATACTGCCTCCTACTAGTGCTCTTTTTACTATCAGGAAGCCCTTCTGTCATTTGCTAACAAGTTGCAAAATTTTTTCATGAAAATACCTGGAACCAAAATGTCCAAGGGCCAGGAGCTGTGAGAAGGTTCTCATTCTCCAGAAGAGGGCCCTGTGCCCCTTCTGCCTACCATCTTGGCTCCTTTTCTATAAGATTGTGGCTCAGCCAAAGGGGTCAGTGACCCAGGACCAGGAAACAAAGATTTTCAGCAGGACAAATTACCTTAAGGAAAAGGCATTAGGATAGCTGGAGAGGTAGGGGTGGAGAGAAGGCATGAAAACAGTTTCATTAGCCAACTTGGTCAATGGGCAAGTGCAGGAAGTGGCAAATAAACCCGGCCAGAATCTATAAATATACTTCAGTATACTCCAGTGTGTGTTCAAAACCCACAAACCAAATGAGTGAATAGAAAACTTGGCAGCATGGAAGCACCTAGATGTAAACTCTTAGTTCTAGGCTTAACTCCTCTGAACTTTACTGTGATTTAGGCATTAAGATTAATATACTCTGAGTTTCAGTTTCCCCATCAGTTAGATGGACAGCACTAAATCTCCTGGCTTCCTCACAGAGTAGTGAAGAACAAATAAGACAAGGAATGTGCTTTGAAAATGCAAGGCATCACACAGAATGAGAGGTTATTGTAATGCCTCTGAGGCTTACCTCACAGAAGGAGAGCTGTTTTGACACAGGAAGATACATAGGAGGAAGCATCAAAAAAGCATTGCTGGTAACAAGGCAGACATACCTCCCCAATGAAAGTAAGGGACCTCATGGGTTATTTATTCCAGTTCCTCCTTTTTATAGTCATGGACAAAGACCTACAAGAGTTCAAGATCTGCAGAGCAGTGATAGTGCTATGCATTGACTCTATTAGTTAAACGCATAAATACGATGTGTTAGTAGCCAAAGGGAGGGCATATGCTACAGGCCCCCTGCCGGAGGAGCTTACTGAGCTGTGAATGTTGATCAGTGTTCTGGAAGCAAGCTGAAGGGAAGCTTAGTAAGGAATTGGGGCAGAGGTGGGGGGATGGACTGGAGTGATCCAGATCCAGGATGGCTGAGTGCCTCAGAGGAGCAATCTGAGGGTGGCCAGGGACTTGGAGAGGACAAATGACAACTTCCTAGAACAGGCTGTTCCAGAACCCGTAGAGAAAAGGAAATAGCCTGGCCTCATCCTGGCTAGCTGAACAGGAACCAGAGTAGGAAGTATTTGTAGTAGGACTAGCACTCACAACATCATTATGTCCCTTTTGAGTGGAAGAAGAAAAATGGAAAAAGAAATGCAGTGCAGCACACATGGCGAGTCAGTTTATGCAGTGACAGGAAAGATGGGAAGAATAAGTCAGCAGAGGGAGACAGTGCTGTGCAGCGCAAAGGGCACTGGACTCAGAGTCCTACAGATCTGGGGGTGAATACTGGCCCTGTCACTCACCTGCTGTATGACCTTAAACATGCCATTTTCCTCTTCTGAATCTTGGTTTCCTTGTCTCTAAAAAGACTTTTCTCCCTATCTGTAAGTTGTTATGAGGATTAAATATGATGTTCCTGAAAGCAACTAGCATGTAATTCCTAGAACATGATGCCCAATATATATTGATTTATTCCTTTATTTTGGGGAGAGACTCCCAGAAAACCTCCAACAAAATATGTTGATTGGAAATGTTAAGCCCTGGAAAGTGAGCCCAACTTAGCTAACAGGCAGTGTGGAAAGGCCCTTTTTACAGATGGAGACCCAGCCTAAATGGGCAGATAAGAAAATCTCATGGTGAGAAGGTAGGTTAGAAGCAAGGTAGGAATGAATATAAATATAAGCATAAACATAGTCTACTTAGAAGGAGCTACGATGCCATTAGTGCATTAATGTGAGGTTCCTCTAGATCCATGGCAAACTGGGAAGATGCCATGTACTGCATAACTCGGCTTGCATCATTTTCTTGACTTGCTCAGAAATACAGGATAAGTTTTATATTCAGTTGTAGTGACTTTCCTCAGTCTCCTCTCTTTTTATTTATTTATTTATATATATATGTATAATTAATTCCCTCTCATTCATTGGTTGTTTCTTAATCCTTGTTTTGTTGGTTATATTTTTAAATTATTAATTGCCTCAGATCCTTTTCATATGGGTATGAAGTGATAAAGTGATGATAACAGTTTCTCTAAAAACTAAAACCCCAATGGTGGAAACCAACCAGAAAATCAAAGTGAAACGTAGGATCAGGGAAGATAAGGGAACTATAGAAACATACAGGATTGACTTAGTCTTTACCAAGAATAACACCAGGGAAATTCCTACTTCTAGAATTTTTTGTAGTCGAAGACCAGGAATGTTATCATAAAATTACAAAACCTGAGAGTGAAAGGGTACTTTGGGTGATTATGCAGATGGGTAAATTGAAGCAAAAAGAGAGGAAATGTTTTGAGGTCTCATGGTGATCCCGTAGTGATCACCATGAGCGAGGGTCAGTACCCTTGACTCTCATTCTGGGGTTTTATCTGCTGCAGTCTTCTTCTTTGTGCTAGTAAATATCTGACTTCAAGCACCTGTACAAAACTAATTTGTGTGGGTTTTTTCCTTTCTCCAGGGCCAAGTGCTTTCGGGGCAAAAAAGTCCTTGGAGATTTTGATATCAAGGTGGAACAGGTAATCAGCCTGAAGCCCAGAGTGGCATCTGTGTCAGCACCGTTCCCACTTGGCACCCTGGAGTGAACTGTCTGGTTCTGCTGAATGGAGCACAGCATCCACCACTGGGTGCTGGGCTCTCCGTCTCCTCTCTCCCCCCCTTTCCCCAGGACTTTTCTCTCTGTGAGGCTGCATCTTTTCATTTGCCTGATGTCTTTTCATGATTCCGGGGTCTGTAGATAGGCGGTGTGGCTCTTAGGGCCCTCTTGCAGTGCAGGGTTCCCAGGCTGAGAAAAACCTTAGAAGAATGTCTTCCTAGGACACTGGCAACACTTCTGCATTGTTGATGGCAAGGCATTTCTGGGCAAGCACATGTTTGCCGATCAGGTGTACTGCTTTCAGCAATGCCTACCCTGGGCCTGAAGCTACACTTCAGAGGGAACTTAGAAAAGAACACCTCCTTGGGCTGGCCCTGTGGCTCACTCGGGAGAGTGCGGTGCTGGTAGCACCAAGGCTGTGGGTTCGGATCCTATATAGGGATGGCTGGTAAGCTCACTGGCTGAGCGTGGTACGGATGACACCAAGCCAAGGGTTGCAATTCCCTTACTGGTCAAAAAAAAAAAAAAAAAGAACACCTCCTTGTTTTAATGCAGTGAAGTCCTGAAAGGCCCATTTTTTTTTAACCTTCCTCTATCCCTTGCTTCCTGATAAATGGAGGATTAGGTCCATCTGGGGAGGAGGAAGATGTCAAATTTAAACAATGCATGTATTTTCCATGTAGTAATAGAAGTTGCTTGTTATTCATTACAGTGTTATGATTTACAGTGTACTTTCCTATTCATTATTCATTCGGTTCTTAAAACATCTTGTTAGATAGACAGGGTTCATAAAAATTTCCATTTTCTAGATTGAAATCCAGAGAGAACAAGTAACTTGCTTAATGCCTTATGGAGCTAGTTGGGGACAGAGCAGAACTAAAATCCAGTTGCCTAAACTAAAACCTAGTGGTTTTATGTTGAAACTGATAAAGGGGACATTTGTCCCAGTTTGCATTCTCAATCTGTAGAGAATCAGCACAAAAGATGCTGGACTGAGAGTCAGAAGACCCAAGTTTTGCTCTTGTCTCTGCCAACAGTAAGTTTTGTTTGTCCAGAAAAGTCACTTAACTGCTCTGTGGCTCAGTTTCTCTTTGGTAAATGGGGATAATTATCTCTGTTCCACCTGCCTCATACATAGGGTTGCTTTGAGAATTAGATAAAATCAGTATGTGAAAATGCTTTGAAAACTGTAAATAAATGTTTGGTAGTATGAACGCTGCTGCTGCCTTTATGTGGAGGACTTGGCAACTTGGTGCTGTGGACTTATTCCCCTACTGTTATTTTCCAGGCGGAATTTTCAGAGCTCAACCTGGTGGCCCATGCAGATGGGACCTATGCTGTGGATATGCAGGTGCTCCGGAATGGCACAAAAGTTGTTCGGTAAGGGTCTTTATGTCGTCAGGGTCACTGTTACTGTCTTTAGAGTTACTACCTCTGGCTTGAAGAGGTGGTTTCAAAGTCAAATGTTGATGAGATAGCAGTGCTATGGATAGTGTACAGAACTTAATGATGTATGATGCATGGAGGTGGCAGAGAAGGCAGAGAAAGCCAGCTCCTGCCTTCACGGAGCTCTTAGTCCAATGGTGGAGAAGACAACCTTAAGCTTCACAGACTCAGAGCTCACTTGGAGGGAACTGGATTCCTTCTAGGACTCCTGGCTCCTCTCTCCCTTCAGCCAGTACAGCTCTGTGCTTTTATCTCTTCATTCATTTCCCCTTGAAAACAGGGTTCCATGCTTTTTTTTAAAGTTTGAAAATGACTAATTTTCCATTTCATGTTGGTTTTCTTGGATTTACCCAGTGAGTCAGTGGCAGAGCCCTGCGCTCTGTGTGAGTGCTCTTGCCCCCAGCCCCATGTTCTTTCTATATTCCTCATTCCCAGGAACTTAGAAGTCTGCTAAGAAAACTAGGGTTGGAGGAGACATTGTGGGTAGAAGAAAATGAGCAATTATTGAGCACTCACATGCCAGGTGGTGTGCTGGGTGCCTACAGATGTGATGTTGTCATACTCACAACAGTTCTGTGAGTGAGATAATGAGGATTCCAGACAGGTGGAAGTGATTTCCAAAATGTTATTCTTCCCAGGAGCTCAGCAAGGCTTCAGATTTTTAGACATCAGTCTTGCTCCAGAAAGAGTCTTCATCTTACCCTCTTCCATACCTCAACCTGCAGTAACCTGACACTGAGGCTTACTGTTCCAATAGGAACTGGGTCAGTGACAGGCAAGGCCAGACTGGGGGTGCCTGGGACCTAATGACAGGAAATGTGAGCTCATTCATCCTGGAGACTGAAGAGGAAGACAGAAAAAGAAATGTCCAACCAGGTGAGGAGTGAGCTCATGTAGATCTTACAAAAGAGAATGGATGAGCTCCTCCATCTGCAGGTAGAAGAAATCATGGGCGTGTGTGCACACAAGCAGGGGGCAATAGGAATGTCCAATAACCGGGATCTGACTAGAATAAGGCAGGCCCTCTCAGTGCCAATGTAGGCACCCAGGAGCTGGCCACAAGCATAAAGCTCCATCGAAGGTTGGAGTTTGATCTCAGGCATACTGGAGCCACCTTCCGAGAACTGGAGCACAAGGAGGTCAGAGCAGTTCCAACAGATGACATTATGACAGTGCTAAGTCCCCTGAGCCACTGAGGAGGGCTTCTTCAACCCCCACTTTAAAAGACTGATCTCTGAGCCTGGGTGGGGCTGGGTGTGTAGTTGGGGGTTGGATGGGTGCCTGGGCAGAAAACCAGGCAGGTCATTGCACATGGTATGAACCTGCAGAGCCTTAGAGCCATGAGGGTGGATGCTGTCACAGCACTAACTCTCTGGGAAGGTGGGGCTCCTCTGCAGCTCGGGCACAGAGACAGGGGCCCTGGTCCTGTGGAGCAGCTGTGGCTAGGAGCTTTGCTGACTAGAAGTGAAATGCAGGGAGCTTTCCCATGCATGGGAACATTCTATGCTCTCAATGCTTCCTGTAGCCGTTGCTCAACCCTATTTCTGCGAAAAATATTTGAACTCCTCCCTCGTGTCTGCTTTGGAAGAACAACATTGGGAAGTCTGGCATCTGTTCTCAGCTAGCCTGGCCCCTTGCTTTCCTGAGGGCCTGCTGAGGGCATTACCTATTTTAAGGAGCAGCTTTCAGGAGCCAGAACAGGACACTGAGATCAGGGCCTCCGTGGCAGTGTGGTGAAGACAGCCAAGTATGTTGTCTTTGGAGTCTTTCGGGACCTGCCTAGAGGACCAACTCTGGAGCCACAAGGAGCTTTGGGCTCTTACACTGCTCCATGAGGATGGGGAAAAATCTTTTTCACTTAAGTTATAAGGGTCTAGAAAGATTTCTTCCCTCCTGAAGATATTTGTACCTTAGAAAAAGGCAATGCTCAGCCCAGAGAAATAAAGGAATTTCAGAAATCTGTTCCTCAAATCTCCTTTGGAAACTGCCATTATACCTCATTTCTTAGTCCACAAAGAAGTAACATTAATAAAATGAGGGCTTGGACCAGGTGGTCCCTAAGACCTCTTCTCTGTGTTGGGCTTTGGAAATGGGAGACAAGATGCTGTATGGCCTGCGGTGCTGCTTAATGACAAACCTGCCTCTACCTTCTCACCAGGTCCTTCCGGCCAGACTTCGTGCTCATCCGGCAGCATGCATTCGGCATGGCAGAGAACGAAGACTTCCGCCACCTGATCATTGGCATGCAGTACGCAGGCCTCCCCAGCATCAATTCACTGGAATCTATTTACAACTTCTGCGACAAGCCATGGGTGGTGAGTAAGGCCCTCTTTTTCCCCCAGGTAAAAGGGTAGGATCTGGGCCCTGTATCTCTCAACCTCCCAGGAGGGACCACTGGTACTCAAGATAAAGTAGGCACCAGCGAGTGGATGCTCAAGGAGCTTCAGCTGGGACATGGGGTATGGTGGGCTGTCACCAAGCACATTATCACATGTCATGGGCTGGGCACCTTTGCTGCAGAGCAGACCTCTGGCCTCATGGCAAAGTCAAACAAAGATTCTGTGAAGAAGCCCTTACAGGTCCATAGGCTCTGCCGTTGGCCATGGGCTGCGATGTTAAAAGGCCTCTTTCTTGCCTCTTAGAATGATCTAACTATTGGAATGATCTAACTACTGGAAAGGCCTGAGGGAGGCCAGTGGGTACAAAGAGGATGGTCCAGCTGAGAGGGGTGTTAGGAGTCCTACCATGTATTTCAATAACCTTAAAATGAAATTGATTCACATACATATGAATCAGACATATATATGAGCTGGAAGTACCCTTGGAGATCATCACACCTCACCCCTCCATGGTAGAGATGTAAGAATTAAAGAAGGAAAGTAAGGACTATAAAACCACTTATTGTACGTGCCAACTTTGAGATTTTCCTGCATCAATTTCATTTAATCCTTACAATAACCTTACAAAGAAGATATTATTATTGTATTATCATTATTATCACTTTTTACAGAGAAATGAGACCCTGAAAGGATTAAGTAACTTGCCAAAGTTATAGAGCCAAGATTTCTCCAGAACACACTGCCTATCACATAGATTGGGCTAGCACATGAGTAAGAAGCTGGCCTGATTTTCTCTTAGTTGGCCGGTCTGGAAATGTGAGAGGGCAGTAGAAACTTTGAGGCAGAGAGCAAGAATGGGACTAGGAGGGAGAGTGACCTCTGATGGCTACTGGGGCACTCTGGCCTCCCCTCTGACAGCTGAGGGGACCCAGCTCCTCTGCTAACTCTGCTGCTCCAGGCTGGCCCTCTCAGAAGGAAATGCCTGCCCCTAGTCACATCCTCTTCATCTTCTTGTTTTGCAAAGATCAAAATCAAGTGTCATACAAAATGGATTGCCAGGATTCCTGGCACTGGTGGCTTATTGTGAAGTTTCACAAACTTCCCCACCCCTCAGGGAGCTGGAGGGGGCATATTTTTTAAAACAAACAGATTCATCCCCTCTACTCTTGATCTTTTCTTCATACCTGAACTAACAGCTTCCCTATTCCTTTGAAAGCCAGGGAGACCAGGGAGAATAAGAGAAAAATGGGCAAGGACTCAGAAGGTCTGGGAGCTACCATGGTTGAGGAGGAGGCTGGGTTCCCGAGCTCTACTTGTTCAGCCTTTCCCTCTGTGTGACCTGAGGCACCGGGAATCCTAGAATTCTACAGAAAAGAGAGTTCTGCTAAAAGAGTAGTGTGATTTCAGAGTGTTGCCAATCACAGAAGAGCACATGTGAGGCCTTCACCAAGTGTCTTTTCTGGAGACCTCCTCTTTCTCCTCAATCACATGACCTTCCTTCCCACTGCGCATCTGCCCTAGCCCACCCCCAGCCCCAGTACTGGTCAGAATTTGGCTTTCCTATAGCCGCACAGGGCGACTCTACTACTATCAGCTTTTTCTAGGTGATTTTATGAATTATCAGCTCTCTAATCTTCTCTGTGCCTGGTTTCTTTAGCTATAAACTGGGAATAATGGTAGTACCTGTCATCACTTCGCCAGCCTCCTCGTTACAGTCCCTTAGTATCTGGGATCTCTAAAAGAAACCAGTTCCTGTTTTCTATTCCTAAACTGTGCCATAGGCCAGGGAGGGGAGGAGCAGAGAGAGCCTGTGCCTGGGGCTTTGCCCCTCCTGGGATCTTGGGATCTGGTGAGGGGTCACACTCTCACCCATTCACAATCTCAGAACTTAGCCTTTGGCATCGCATGAGAACAGCAGGGTTCCCTGGCCAGACACCGAGTTTTCCCATCAGTTTCACTAAGCAGCTGCTGCACAAGTAACATTTTACATATTGTTCTCTGCCTGTTGATGGGAATGGACAAATTTGGTGACTGTGAGGGAAGGGTCCCTCTAAGATATTGACTTTGGCTCATGTTTCTAATTCACTGTGACCTTGCACCACTGTGCTTCTGAACACATCTGCTATCTCTGAAACTGGTCAGGGCAGGCCACTGGGCTTTCAGGAGCACAAGTGGACCTGTCAGTGAAAGCAGAATTCCAGAAAAAGCAAGATTGCCACCATCCCTTATTGCTGCAGATTTATCTGAAATTCCTATCACTCATTCTGGGTTTACTGGAGATAGATTTACCAGGGTTTAATTAAAGCATTTAATTTCCAGAGGGATAGGAATAACATATTATTCAAGCTGCTCCTGAAATCCCATTTCTTCCCAGAAATCTTTTCTGATCAATTGGATAAGTGGTTATAATGAACATATCTTCATTGCCAACAGCACCCCTAGCTCCCAAATTCATTATTTTGTCTATGCACAGAGGAAATAGCCCTTATCAGATATTACATTTGTTTAGTTGGCAACTGTGTACTGGAGACAACCTAAGTTTCCAGAGAGGCAGAGGTTAGATGCCAAGCCCAGTACCTTGAGCAGACAGGGACCACTGGAGATCAGGTGGAGGAGGGTGGGGTGAGCTTTCCAGAACCCAACTAGAGCCTGGGAACTGACTGCTGTTTTAGTCTTGGCTGTCCCAGGGTGCTGGGAGTCTGCCATGGGCCTTCCTGGCATCTGCATGGTGTCTGTGTAACTCTCCCACATGATGGGAAGATAGGGCCCCACATGCCCTGGTGCCATGCCAGGGCGTGGGCTGCAGCAGGACAGAGGTTGTTAGGCAGAGCTGGCATCAGCTCCGCAGAGATGCTGGAGAGCCTTGAGAGCTCAGGCAGGTATCCAGAGGAAGAGCTGGAGTCCAGCCAGGCCCAGATGGGCAGATACGACTTAAAGGTCAGGCGAGGTGGTGGAGAGAATCAGAGAAGGCAGGGAAGGTCTGAGGAGCCGGTCTTGACAGTCAGAGCAAATCAAAGAACCAAAGAATGGCAAGGACAGCAGGGTCCAATGGAGAATGCACTGGGCGACGAGAAGAGAGACCTGGGTGCTCTCCCAGTGCAGCCCAACTCCGGGTGTGATCTGGGAGCCTACGCTTTCCTACACTTCTCTAGCCTCATTCTTATCACTTGTTAAATGAGAGACCTGGTCCAGAGACTCTCTAAAGTTTCTTTCAACAATGCAATCTTAGGGGCTTGGGAGTCCACAAACCAGACTTTCCATCCTGGAGGAGGCCTTAGAGCTCTAGTCACCACTTGTGTGTCACTAAAGGGAGGGGCCCAGGAATTCCAATGTTTTCCAGTATTTCAAAAATAACAAAATCATATCTTTACCCACAAAAGGACCGCAACAGATGACCACTTAAGCTGCAGTTTGATAATGGAGTTTGGGAGGAAATATAATAAAGGAATGTTTTTTTTGTGGTGCAAAGTTTGAGGAACTGATCAAATTCAACCCTCTCATTATATATATGAAGAAAAGGAGGCCCGGAGAGGAGAAATCATTTGTCCAAGGACACCTAGCAAGTTAAGAGGCAGAACGAGAACTAGAAGACTCCAGTTTTCTAATAACCCAGTTCTGAGCTTTCACTGCTCCAATCCTCTTTCCCCACACTGGCTCATGTGCCAACATTCCTTATACAGAATAGGACCTGAGCTTCTGCGGAATGTTCTAGCTTTCCTTTCTCTGATAAATAGAAGGCAGAGTTGCCTTGATAACTTTCCCTTCTGGTAGTTCCAGATATGGGTGGCTTGGAGTATGAACTAGTCCAGTAGCTAGAGAGAAGATGCTAGACTTTCCCTGCTGCTAGTGCACTGGGTATGGGTGTGCAGATGGATTGAGCAGGAAAGTCCTGTGTTTCCAGTGGGAGAGCATGGTCTCTGCCGAGCCTAAAAGCAGCTACTTGAAGGAATAGGGAGAATTATGCATTGGGAATGAAGGGGCCTGGCTATGAATCTGGCTCAACTATGGTGTGAAATTGGGCAAGTGATCTCTCTGGGCCTCAGTTTCCTCATTTATTAAATGGGGGTAGATGTGCACCAAAAACTTTTCAACCCTGACACCGTAAGTTTGTATACTTGGTCTCTTCCCCATGGAACTATTCCAGTTTCTCACAGGTGAAGGGCACAGCAAGATCATTTCTTGCATGAGTATTAAGTCCCAGAAAGACTGGGCCTTTCTATCCTTCACACCATGAGCATCCGAATCTTCCTGAAGAACAGCATTGTTCAATGCACCCCCTGCTCAAACGCTGGTGACTCAATACTACACACAGGAAAAAGCTACCATTCCTTTGCTGGCATTTGAACTTCCACGACTTGGCCCATGTTACCTATCCAGCTTCATGTCTTGCCTTTGCTCAGAGATGCAGGTGTCTAGAGTTAAGAGACCCAAGTTTCAATCCCAGCTTCACCTCTCTGCAGCTCTATGACTTTAGGCAAGTTCCTATCCTCTCTGGGCTTCATATGTAAAATGAAGATGATGAAGTACCTAATTCATCGATTTGATATGAGGATTGAATGAAATATCATTAGAATTGAGTAGGTACTCAATGAATTTTAGCTCACTCTTTCCCTTCCCCAACTAAAGCAAATGTTCCTTAAAGACAGGAATTGTATGCTTCTTTTATATCCTCGAAGTGCTTAGCACAAAGCCCTCAACAGAGCAAATGCTCAATATTTGTTTGATGGGTTGATATTTTGTCTGTCTGTTCCAGAGTTGCCTTAGAAAAGCTGAAACATTTGCTTCTCTTTTTCAGTTTGCCCAGCTGGTGGCCATCTACAAGACACTGGGAGGAGAAAAGTTCCCCCTCATTGAGCAGACATACTACCCCAACCACAAAGAAATGGTAGGTGGCTAAGTGGGGACTTTAGTCTCTTTGCTATTTCCAGTCTGACCTTAGCCATACAGTGATTGTGGGGCTCTGACAAGGGCCTCAGCATCTCAACCCCTAAGACTCCATTGGGGTGGAACTATGGAGCTACTTTATGGGCTGGAGTGGCTGGATTTTAGCTGATAGCCTCTTGTCTTCAAATTCTGGAGAAAGAATAGGGAAGAGCAGAAACAAGGGCAGGTTAATCAAGCCGAGAAAGTAACAAACCTCTGGACCAACAATGAGAAGATCTCACTGCTTTGGGTTCCAGCCCTAGCTCTGCCACATGTCCATTTCTCATTGGACAAGTTATATTATCTCACTGTGTGTCAGTTGCTCCAGTCATTATTCACCTGACTGTTTCATTCCCTTCGCTTCCTCAGGCACGTGGTAAGGCTGGGTTAACACGGTGCCTTCTCTGAGGCCATCCTAGGATGTCAGAAGGAGCAGAGGGATGGGATGGTTGCTTGATAAGGAGGTTATTGCTAATGTTTTCCCTCCATGGCAACCTGGAGCTTGAACTCCCTTCTTCCCTGTCCCCACACCCCTTGCCCCAGGCCAGTGCAGATGTCAGAAGGAGCAGAGGGATGGGATGGTTGCTTGATAAGGAGGTTATTGCTAATGTTTTTCCTCCATGGCAACCTGGAGCTTGAACTCCCTTCTTCCCTGTCCCCACACCCCTTGCCCCAGGCCAGTGCAATTGGTTGGTGATCCTGCTTCCACCAATGGAAATTCTCTGCCAAAGCATTGCAAGTGTTGCGCTCTGGGACAGAGATCATGTTTGTTCCCTCTCCCACTCCTTTCTTCAAAGGGGAGCTCCATTTGCAGCATTTCTGTGAATCAAGAGCCTTCTTCTGGCACATTGCACATGGCTTGCTCACCAGCAGACCACACAAAGAAAAACAAAACAACCTTGGGCCTTGAAAAGAATTACTTCTGTCATCTTTGCCAGAGCTTCCCCAGGAAGAGGCTCTGGAATTTTAAGCCCTTGTTCTTAATAAATCCTTGGGGCCAGTATCAGGCCTCTTTCTTTCTGTATAGGCCAGGAAGGCTTGCAGAGGCTGAGGAACCCTAAGGGGCCTGTGGTTGGAAATCTCAGGGAGTCCAAGATACAGTGGTAAGGGGACTGAACTGAAGGTGGAGGGGCTCTCTGGGGATCAAAGCTGGCTTTTCCTGCTGGAACATCTAGCAGTGCTAACCACTGAAAAAACTGCAATAGTTGCGAAGTATATTCCTCATCTACCATCTTTTTCCCTCAAGGACCCTTGTAGTATTTCTCTGCTGTCCTCTGTCCTGAAATTTACCCTCAGGAGAGGATCACATCTCTGAGGTATCAAAAGCTGACAAACGGGGGATTTCAACTCTACAAGAGAAAGGCTTTTTTGGCTTAAAAATAAAAAGTTCTGAAGTAATGAAGACATTTCTAATCTAAAAGAGGCAGAAGAGAAGCCTTATGGATATCAGCTGAGGTTATTAGGAGAGACAATACCCATTCTTAAACAATAAGAGTATTCTTGTCCAAAGAGGTGTGCTGATTGGGCCGGACCCCTGCCAGGAATGATAGAGAGAGGATCACAGGATGGGAAGGTTAAGCTGTTCTAGATGTCACACAGTAATTCCGTGTCCCTCAAGTCGCTCCCCCAGACAGATGAAAGCGTATCAGAAGATAGGATGAGTCGAGACAGGAGTAGAGGATACACAGCCATCATACATTGTTCTTTTCACTCCTGCCAATCGGCTTGTTTATGACACTGTCAACCCATCTTCTGATATTGTACATCACAAAGCTACGCCACTTCATATGTATAACATTCACCATTTCTCCCCAATCAGATCAGTGAAGGCAAAGGAGAATACTTTTTCCTGGAAAGGAAACGCAATAGTCCTGGCTTTGGAAAACAAACTAAGCCAAAATCAAAACTTCCAGTAACAGGTACAAGCTAGACTAATGGGGTTTGGGAGGCAGATGAGAAGGGCTGAGGGCAGAACAGAACAGTCATGTTATCTTCCCTAGTCCCTGACAGGTTCTGGGCTGGGGTCTTAGGCACAAGGTGTAACATGTCGCATCCCTGCCCTGATGCTGGCCAGACCGCCTACTTGGCACTTCCCACTGGCTGGCAGCAATGGAGCAAGTGGTGATGGCCAGAGCTACACAGGGAAGGAGAACCAGCTTGATCTTCAGGACTCTGGAAGGGTTGTGGTGGTCACTGGTCCCTTCTAGGGCTGGATGATGTCAATAAACTCCTTCCTAAGGGGCAGGTGGCCCCGGTACCAGCTGCAGGTGCCATCAACATGCTTCATGCAGACATAATGCCGGGCCTGTTTCCCGTAGAGCTTCTGTTCCAACAGCCAGTCTGTCCAGAGGCACTCGTTGGGGGCCGAGATGGTACAGGGCACTGTATAGCAGGTGGTGATCTAGAGTCATGGCCACACAACACCAAAGTGAGTATAGTGTCTTTTTTTTCCTTTGCTGCCTTTCAGACTCTTACATACCCTGACAGCCCATCTCAAATGCGTCTTGCCTTATAGAGCCTTTTCTAGTCCCCAAACTTCCCCCTGAATTCTCTTTCCCCTATGCTCCCCAGTGGCATCTCTGGAGTCAGACAGCCCTGAGGGTCCTTACTCCACTACCCACCTTGAGCAAGTCACTTCACTTCCCTAAACTTTCATTGCTTCACCTTAAAGTGAAAATCTTAATTCTTCATAAATTTGTTATAAAGACTAAATTAAATATCTAAAATAAATTGACTATTACAGGGCCTGGCAAACAGCAGAGTCTGTTTAAGCGGTTGCTGTATTACTGTCATCTCAGTCTGCCTTATATGATGGCCACCTTCCCAGCCAAAATTAAATACTTTGAGATCAGGGACTGTAGACCCTGTTGCTTTCCCATCCCCAACTTCATACAGTGCCCAAGCCACAGCATTCTCAAGTATGATATAGTAAGTGAAGAAATGCACTCATGAGGGAAGGAATACATGAAGGGTGAGGCTTCAAGGCTCGAAACCCTTCTTTTAACCCCAGAAGACCTTGGAAATGGACACTCCCTTACTTGGCATCCGCAGTTCAGATGGTAGTGATGATTCAGACTCTCCCTCTGCAACAAGGACAGGTCCTCCCAGGGTTCAATGTAGTTGCACAGACGGACGAAGACTTTTCCATCATTGAGGACCTGGCCTTCAAGGGTAGATGAGGAGAGAGTCTAGCATCAGGAATCTGTTCCTGGAGCTCCAGGGGCCCAGATCCGTGAAGAACCCAGAACTGCAGCCTCCCAATGGCTTTTTGGTGGCAGTGGCAACATGGGGCTCAATGAAGGGACCAGAAAACCTCCTATAATCTTAATAGCAAAGAGATTAACAGATTATGTTTGGATGAGGCAGAGTTCTGGGACCTTTAGTATATTTCAGAGAGAAGAACATGGATTTTAAAGTCAGACTTGGGTGGGACCTCCTTTTATATCATTTATTAGCCTTGTGATCTTAAGAAAGTCACATAACCTGTCAGCTGGAAGATGAGAATAATAAAGTTGTTTTCAGGATCAAATGAGAGAATGTCTGTAGAGTTCCCAGCATAGCTGTGGACCCACCGAAGATGTTCAGTAAATAATAGATCCCTTCCCAATATCTACACAGGCCAGTCTCTGCCCCACGGACCTATCTTGGTGAGTCTTTTCCCTTCCCTGTAGGTAAGTTCCCCTTCCTCCCTTATGAAACTCCTTCCCATCTTTCAAAGACCCTTTTCAATGCCACCTCATCTCAAAGCCGTCCCTGACCTTGCCGTCCCACACCTGTCTCAGAACTTCACTTGATCATCTCCTCACTAAGCAACTACTATGACCTAGTACCAGAAATACAGAACTAAATATGACAGGATCTCTCTGCCCCCAAGGAGCTTAAACATGAGGAGGGTAGACAAATAAGTAGGCAAAAATGACACTATTGTGTCATTATACACAAAATGCAGTATAAGAACAAAGGAAAGCACAGTTATCTTCATCCATGGGAGAGCTGTGGGGCAAGGAAGGTGTCTCAGAGGAGATGCTTGTATTGGGTTGGAGAAGGGGTTCCTGGACACTGGGACTATCCTTGTGCAAAGGCAGAGAGACACAGCCCAGCAGCACACCTTCTGCAACTGAAAGTAGTTTAGTTCAGCTGTGGGGGAAGTGAGAGTCTGGAAACTATCACTGACAAGTGGCAGAAGACAGACTTAGAGAGGTCAGCAGTGTTCAACATCAGGCAAAAGAGCTTGTCCCTTCTCCTGAAGGGAATGGGCACCACTGATGACTTTTCGGTAGAGTTGTGTTTTGTCATTTATTGCTATCCTCAGTTAGACTTGTTGTCTGTCCCCTTGAGGGCAGACAGCATGTCTCCTACTTCCGCTGATGTACCACAGTGCCTAGCAGAGAGCTAGACACAGAGAGAAGGAGGTGGGATAACAGCTTGAAAAGGCCTGGTCTGCTAGTCCTGGGAATGGGGGATGCTCGATGGCATGCCCTACCCCTGCGTCTCCCATCCAGAAGCTCCCCAGGTAAGCACAACTCCACATCAGTAAAGCTGGAAAGCCCCTATCATTGCAGCCTCCAGCACCTATGACTGCTCAAGAGCCATATCTGGTCTACAAACTTCTTGAGGACTATGACTTGTCACTGAATCTCCACTGTCCTGCCCCAGGCTTGGCAGTGAGTAGGTGGCCACTCATTGCTGAATGAATAGATAGACGGTGGAATTCTTCCACCTGTTCTCCCTACCTGCTGTGCCTTTTCTTTTCCTTGCTTTCTTTCTAAATAGTTTTCATCTGTTAGGGACAGTTTAGATCCCACTTACACAGTGAGCTTCCCTGATTGTCCATAACCACGAAAATACATCCTTTTCCTGAACTTCAAAATAATTTAGTGTTGTATTCATTCACTATGGAGTCATGTTCTTGTGTGCTTTTTAACTGTTCTACCTTAACCAATTTAGTATGGAGTAGTGCTGCCTGGACTCAAGTTCTTGGAGACAGAACTGTGTTAGATTCAAGGCTCTTGTGGGGCCTATGCAAGGGCAGAGCTGAACCCACAATAGGCAGTCTCAAAGGGGCAGATTTGAGCTCAAGATATCAAAAATTTTATACCATAAAAACGTTTGAAAATGGAACCAGCGGCCCTGGACTGGGAGAGCAACCTGTCCTTAAAATAGTGAAGCAGTGGAAAGGGTCACTGTAATGAAGACATTTGCATTGAAAGGGAGGTTACCGAGGCTCCTCCCAACTCAGAAGTTGGCTGTCACTAACACGGCCCAGTTTTATGCCTAAGAAGATGCCACCTGACTCAGCCTGCTTCCCAAGGAAGGCCCTGGCTCCTCCCTCACTGCCTTCCTTAGGACAGAATCTATTAAGGCAAGTTGTTGGTCTTTAACTTACCAGTCAAGAGATACTGCTTCTGGCTGTTGGCTTCTAGTTTCACACCACAGAGGGAAGAGTCAAAAGGTGTATAGATATACTGAACATCCTTGACTTTCTCAAACCCTTTAAACATCTGAAAGGCAATCACACAAAAGCAATATCGGTTGGATCAATGAGTGTACTTTGTATATAAACAGGCAAAAATTTCTCATTTCTCAGTCTGAAAAATTAAGCAAAAGTCTATTTCAGGATTTGGTGCACACAGATGGTCCTACTGAGTTATTCCTGTCTTTGAAAAGATCTAAAACTTGGCTTATTCCAGTGAGAGAGGAGATATTCCAGTGGCCCCATGCACAGGCAGTTGTGGGACTGATGGACACCGAGGCCCCACCCTGCACTGTCGCTCAGATCCCGTGGGCCTTGCCCTCAGTCTCATCCAGTTCCACCTCAGCATCTAGACCCAAGGTCACTGAGACAGGTGGCCTGAAACATACCAGCCCCACCCCTCCCAGAACACACCCCCCACTCCCTCCATCAGCCCAAGGGGGTAAACCCCAGTCCTGCCCCCATGTACCTTTATCTGTTTGATTTCATACCGGATCATTTTTTGAGTGTCAGCAGGGTCTGCACTGGCAGGAACTACTTTCTCACTGGAGACTTTGACCCGGATCACTGCATAGGAAAAGAAGGAATCTGCAGCAACCTGTGGGGGCAATCCACCTGAGATGTGGATGATCTGGGGCCCCTGGAGAACTGTGTAGGGGAATTCTTGGTGTAGGTGTTTTAGGGTGGTGAGCAATGCGGTGTGTGAGAATGGGGACCTGGAAACTCCTCTGCAGTTGCTTCAAGTTCCAAGCCTGTCAGGTCTATTAGTCCTACAGCCTCTAGGTCCTTTCTCCTTTCTGAACCTGTTCCTTTGGAGAGCTCTAGTTCTCCATAGTCCTGGGTGCAGCGGGGAGGAGGGTGGGAGATGGGGTAGAGAATGGAGGAGGAGCCTCTTGAAGGCAATTGGTGCAGAGTTCATCTGTTGATGTAGCTCAAGGCCTCAGAGCCCGCCCAGAGTTGGTATTAGTTAATGTTTGTTCAGTTCATAAATGTTCTGACTACCTCTGCACTGAGGTAGTCTATCTCTTGCCCATTTGGGCATTAATCAAAACTGTTTATGAAATTGTTCCTCTGTGCCTGGCCTTGCACTGGGCAGTCAGCACCAGGCCCATAGATGTGACTGAGACAGGGTGGCCTCCATCCTGGACAACTCTTGGTCTAGGGGAGAACACTTATAAAGAACATGGCACAGCATAGTAGGAACACAAAGGTGTTAGAGAAGCCTTCAGAGGAGAGGAGAGACCTGAGTTAGACCTTTAAGGATAAATAAGAGTTTGCCAGGAATTTAAGGATACGGGGGAAGTGCAAAAGGTGTGTGTTGGGGTGTGGCATTGTGGCAACCTCAGTTACAGGCCTGGACAGAGACAGGTATTTATAATGCAAGTCCTCTCTCCTCCCTGCCTCCCTGACCCCCCACCCCAATCCAGTAGTTTCAGAATAATCACCTGGTAGCTCCGGTGACACCTTTTTCAGTGACACTCCATAATTGCTGTATGGCCGATGTGAGGGGGTCGCTATGGAGGCCCCTGACACAATCTTTATTTCCTTACAAATCAGCCTCAACGCTTGCAAGGTTGCTATGGCGCCGGGCTCCTCCCCGACCCACCAGCCTCAGCAGGAGGCAATGGGTGTAAGATTTGAGCTCCTCCCCACCCCCGACCCCCCGCCCCGCCGACTCCTGGTCCGCTGCTCGGCCCCATAGCTATCCCGCACAACCACCCGCTGCTGTGGATTTCGTGGACCTGGGACTCACCAAGCGCGGAGTGGCAGACGTGCTGCTGGGGGTGCGCGGGGGCGCAGCTGCACGCCTCGCCCAGCCCCGGGGGCCGCAGCAGTGCCAGCAGCCGCAGCAACAGCACCCAGCTGGGCGCGGTGCGGGGGCTCCTGGGCATGACGCCGCAGAGCCCCAACTGAGCCTGTGGGGTCTGTTGGACCAAATAGCCCCTCCAGGGCTCCTTTAGAACGTGTCGCGCCCCTCGCCCCGGGCTTTATGAGGTGGCCCTAGGGCCAATCCCGCCCCCATAAGCTCCGCCCTCCTTTGGTTGTAGGCCATCCGCGGCTGCAGGACCCGAGGCCCTCCTGACAGGCAGACTCAATAAGATGAAGAGGGAAGCCAGGAGAGAGGCTCCAGCCTCTATTTCCCTGCCTGAGTAATTAAGCCGTCTGGAAGTAGAGGGAAGGCACTGTGAGAGGGGATGGTATCATGGTCATAAAGACCGAAAGAGCAACAAAGATAAATGCATGAGGCCAGAAAGACAGAGGGACTGTGATTCAGTCAGAAGAAACAAGAATGAGGAGAGGCACAGACAGAAGGACTGAGACAGGCAGAGTTGGAGAGAGGCAGACGGAATTACAACAGGCAAAAGAGACAGTGACAGAGAAGGACGGACCCCTTGCTGAGCTGCACACTGAGAATGAGACAAGCTACTCAGGGCTTCTTTCAGCTGCAGGAAGTGTTTTCAATGCCCTATTTATTAGGCTCCAAAGCAACAGCAAACAGTGATGGAATAGGACAGAGAAAGTTGGGGTGTGTGCGTGTGTGTCTTGGCTCTGTCGGCTGGGGGGTGGGGAGAAATGTCAGAGAAAGCAGCCAGTGCTTTAGAAACCCTTTCCCATACCCAGATCCTAGACTCTGCAGATAGCTGGGGACCGTGCTCTTGGGGAGGGCTCAAAACACAGGGTGTCCCATTACTTAAGGCAGGCCTTGGACCTCTTGACCCACAAAAGAAACGGAGGATCCTTTTTTGGTTCATAAGCATGATGATTGTGTTTGCACGCTATTGTGTGACATGTGTCTCCCTCTGAACCTTGTTAGGACATCAGCACGTTACCCGTCTGATGTGGGGGGAGAAAAAAAAATAAACAAGCCAAATATATAGTTTATTTGGAAATAGAACATTGCATGCCATGGTAAACTGCGTGCGTATCCTGGGAGGCAAAGGAAGACAAAGGTTTTTAAAGGCAAAAGAGAAAAGTACACAGTAATTTGTAGGGAAACAAAGAGAACATTGGTTACAGGGCCTATCAGAGGAGTTGACACCAGTTCATTAGTGGAGACAATGTCAGGCAAATGTTCTTGTACATTGGCTAGCTGTCCTTGTGACTCATGTAGCAAGTTGCAGTTTGAAAAGACCTTGGCAAAGTTTTTGTTACAGGCATCTGTGCTGTATGAGTCTGTTTTCTTGTTGCTTATTACAGAATACCTGAAACTGGGTAATGTTTAAGGAAAAGAGGTAAATTTCTTCAGTTTAGGAAGCTGGGAAGTCCAAAGTCTAGAGGGCACATCTGGTGAGGGCCTTTTTTGTGGGGAGTCCCCACAGAGTCCAGTGGCAACCAGAGTATCACATGGAGAGAATGGCATGAGTGCTTTCATGTGCTCACCTTATAAAGTCACCAGTCCATACCCACGATTAACCATTAAGCCCTTGGGCCGGCCCGGTGGCGCACTGCTACAGTGCGCCGCTTGGGAGCGCAGCGGCGCTCCCGCCGAGGGTTCGGATCCTACATACAGACCAGCCGCTCACTGGCTGAGCGAGGTGTGGGCGCAACACCAAGGGTTGCGATCCCGTTGCCCGTCCCGGTCCGGTACGGGGGCAACACTGAGGGTTGCAATCCGTTGCCGGTCATGAAAAAAGACAAAAAGGAAAAAAAAAAAACAAACCATTAAGCCCTTAACCTATTATTCTATGAATGGATGAATCCATTCATGAGGACATAATCCTCATGATCCAACGTGAGGGTTGCAATCCGTTGCCGGTCATGAAAAAAGACAAAAAGGAAAAAAAAAAAAAAAACCATTAAGCCCTTAACCTATTATTCTATGAATGGATGAATCCATTCATGAGGACATAATCCTCGGGAGCGCTGCCGCGCTTCCCAAGCGGCGCACTATCCAGTGTGCCACCGGGCCGGCCCTCATTTTGATCTTGATTAGCAGTTTTATGAACCTGTTATGGCCAATGTCCGACGGGTAAAAGAAATTTGCCCACGAGAACCGGGTGATAGGAAAGGGAAAAAAGTTTATTTCTGGCAGCCAGGGCTATGCAGGCCAATCGAGAAGCGCAGCCCCAAGTTGAAACCTCTCGCAGCTTTTATTTTTAGCTGGGCGGGAGTTTTTCGCACCTGACACAATCTAGCCAATGCAAGCAAGCCAGCAGTACATAAGCTAATTTTGTGGGTAGCCCTGTAGGCCCTCTAGCCCTGTAGCCCCTCCCCACCCTGGATTCCACATAGGGACTTTTCAGGCTAAAATGGCAGAGCTGCCTAAAATGGCGTTGGCCATGCTACTCTATTTATTCCCCTTTATTTTAGCAAGCAATTTGTACAGAAGCAGAATGCATATGTTAAGGTCAGTAGGGGTTGGGGCGTCCCTTAATAAACCCATTAGTTTCTTTAATGTTATGGAAAATTTTTACTTTGTTCATTGATCTTTGTATTAGTCCATTTTTGTTGCTTATAACAAAATAGTTGCAATTGTGTAATTTATAAAACAAATGAAATTTATTGTTTACAGTTTCTGAGGCTAAGTCCAAAGTCCAGGGAACACATCTGGTGAGGGTCTTGGTGATAGCAACAGTGACCCAGGGGTCTCACATGGCAGAAAATGGTGAAGCAGAGAGACAGACTCTTCATGCTCCCCTTTTAAAGTCCTCAGAACCACACCCCTGACCACCATTATTAATCAATTCACTATGGCTTGGTCATACAAATCTAATCACCTCTTCAAGGCCCCACCTTTCGATTACCATAGTATGATTTCCCACTCTCTTAACACTGTCACAGTGGGAGCCAAGTTTCTAATACATAAAAATCGGGGTACACAAGTAAAGCTTAAGTGAATTTGGAGAGACATTCAATCCACAATAATCTTAAAGTTATTAGAAACCTACGTTTATGTCTTTTTACATGAATCTGATTGCAGATATCTTTAGAGAAAAATCAAAACTGCGAACACCAGAGACTTAGAATAGCCATAGTTAAGATCTAATGAAAGCTTACTAAAATCAGCAATTGACCAGGAAGTTTCATTATTTCTATCGTATACAGCATTTTAAGATAACAACCAGAGTCATGACTGATAGCATCACATCAGGAACATCAGATTTTATAAATTTTATATAATCTTTAGAATACTTACATTAATAACATATTTATATAAATATAACTTTAAAGACAATTCAACAAAACCAAAATTATGACTGATAAAATATTAGATTTTTAAGAATTTTATATAATTTTGTAACATTAATATCAATAGCATATTCATAAATGTAAACTGAAACATATTCATAAGTGTAAAATAAAAGTTCTAAAATACCACTTATCCTTTGACAATGCTTTTCATTCAATTTGCCAAGTAAGCCTAATCAGTTAATATCTCTACGAGATGAGAGATACTTTCTTTTTTTTTTTTTTTTTTGTCCTTTTTGAGACCGGCCGCACCACGCTCAGCTAGTGAGCGCTGTGAGCGCTGTGAGCGCACCAGTCATCCCTATATAGGATCCGAACCTGGGGCAGGAGCGCTGCTGTGCTCCCAGCGCTGCACTCTCCTGAGTGCGCCACAGGCTCGCCTGAGAGATACTTTCTTTGAGGCCCAGGGGCCCAGCTGGAAAATCCCAAAGATTTAGTTTAGAATTTTAATATTGGAGAAGCCTGTCAAGGATGCGAAAAGGTTTAAAACACTGAATCATAATAGAATCACAGGTCACTGTGGAAATAATAGTCATCCATTTAACCAGAGTGATAATTAAAAAGTTTTGAAAACAATAAAGTTACATGGATAAAAAACCTTAACCCTTTCAAAGCTCAGTTTTCCCAAGTAATCAAAAACCTAATAAAGACAACAGGGAAATTATCTCGATAAAACGCAAAATCTTTGTTTCTCAGGCCAGTTACCAAAAAGGCAAAGAAAAACCTGCAGTGTGATTGTTTCTCCTTATGGAAAGCCCATTTAAATAACATGAAATTTGAACCTGATGAAAAGGTATTTTGAATTTAATCAGACACAGGAAGAATGTGTCCAAGATTATGAGAGTACACTACATTATAGAAGAATAATGTAAGCAAGAAAACCAATACCTTGAGCAGGGGAATGTATGGCTTTTAGAAAACATGGGAAGTTTCCTGGTTACATGGAACCATTTAGGCATATCAAGAAATGCCAACAGTACAGAATCAAATTATACCGGAAGAAAGCATTCCTTTTTAGGCCTTCAAGACGGAACATTCCAGTGTCAGATGATAAGAGCAGAGTTAGCTGATGAAAAAGTTAAAGAGAGAGTTATCACCCAAGACCTTCTCAAGGGAGAGAGAGGGAGAGCTGCAGGCAGTGACGTGTGACCTGCAAATCACGTACACTGAGATACAGCAAAAGATGAACTTCTGAGATACGAATCTACAAAGCTTCAGGAAGAAAACTGTTCCTCGAGAAATGAAATTACCATTCTAAATGAAGAAGACAGCACTTCCAACCTGAAAACAGGGAGATTAAATGAATTTCAGGGAGAAATGTAGCAGAAATTAAAACTGTTAAGAAGATGGCAGACTTCAGAATTAAAAATCAAAACCTCCTTCAGTTTTACTAATAGTCAAGGAAACCTTGTTCTAACATAGGGGGGAAATGATCAAAACCTCCTTCAGTTTTACTAATAGTCAAGGAAACCTTGTTCTAACATAGGGGGGAAAGTTCTCTATCAGTGTATTTTTAATATCAAAGCTCAGTCTTTAGAAGGACATAAATAATTCCCTTCTAATTATAGCCAACTTAATCACACGCAATATTCTTTCACAAATTCACCCTTCATGAACCATGATTACAACTAACTCAGACATTTCCATGACATTTTAGACTTTCTGTTTTGTCCTATACTTCCTCTTCGCTAAATAATGAGTCATTTCACTTTAGGACAAAAATTTACTACACAAGATTCTTTTTCATACAAATTATTCTCTT